TACAAACCTATATTTTAAAACTATAATTTACTTGCAACGGCGTGAATACTCGTCAAATTTAAAATTCCTGAAAGCTATGCTTCTCTAAAATTAGTAAATCTTCCAAATTTCCACAATTTTACATCCAACACGATGAAAACTTAAGGTACCCTAAATAAGGTTTCAGGTTGAAAATTTACAAAATTTCCATATCAAAACTTTACTCCCATTCTTATCTCAAAATGTCTCCCAATTTTCAAAATCTACAAAAGTTTCCACAATTTTAGCGAGATTAATAAGGAAAATCTATCAGATCAGAATTTCCATCACAATTTTGTTCCCAAAATTATTCCCCAATTTTAAAAAAACCTCCCCACATCCATTCTGCTCATCCCCCCCAAAAGAAGTGCTCTCTCTCTCTCTCTCTTTACACAGGGTAAAAAATTGCATCCTTTTAGTCGACGCTTTTAGTAGCGAGTGAGTGAGTGACTGAGTTCCATTTAGGATGGAAATCCAGAGCCAAGCCAGCCAATCTTCTCTCCAACTCGTTGAGTGGAATGGGATGGAAACGAGACGAATTGTGTAGTTCACTGACTGCCACGACTTTGCCTTTGCGAGAATGGACAGGTGACATGACATGACATCATCTCATCTTTCTGGCCAAATAAATGCGAAAATCCGCCAGGAAAAGAAAGACCCGTGTTAACATTTTATGGCTGCGATTACGAATGTATACACCAAAAATCCTGCTCCTTTTTACTACGGATATTTGAATATTATTACGTTTCTGGGAAAAGAAAAGATCGGATTTTTTCCCTTCTTTTCGTAGACGTATTCATGTCATGTCTACCTGAATTATTTGCACAGTTATGTAATAGCTTTTTCTTTCTTGGGTGGAGATGGAGCAGTTCGAGGAATATTCTTCAGTTAGTTCGACTTTCTTTTTTTGAGGGGTGGAAAGAAATATGAATTTTTTTAAGATAATTCGCAATTTTTTTTACTTCTATGAATTGTGATATTTCGAATGCGTAGGATTTGAAATAGGTTATTCCGTTGCTTCGAATTTCTTTTCGAGGGGGTAGAAATATGGATTTTTTTATTCAATTCGTATTTTTTTTTATTTCCAGGAATTGTAATATTTCGAATTCGTAAGAATTTCAAATTACAGAAAAAATGGTTTATCGTACAAATTTTGTGTAATCAAATTGCAACTTTGGGACTAGGAATCTGATTTACTAATCCAGAATTTATCTTTAATACCATTAATTTTTAATGTCGTTTAACTAACACTAAAAAATTATGAAATTTCCGAAAAAAATACATAAAATATAGTTTTGTTTAATACATATACCGTGAAATTCGCTAAATTATAAATCGAAATTTTTAAATTTCCATAAATTTTCAAACAATGTCGATTTGCAACAATATGTATTTAAACTTCGTAAGATTTTTAAATCCAGGGAAGAAATGGTTAAACGAAGGGTAAAAATATAATGTAAAACGTATATATATGTAGTCATAGTATATATAATGTAGTAGAATAAAATGGGCAAACGCAGATTTGCGTAATCAAATTGTGACATGATAAGGAACGCAGCTACTGATCTGATTAATTAGTCTTTAACACAAGTCATTTTTTAATGTCGTTTAAGCACCACTAAAGATTGTAAACTTTCAAAAAATAACTTTTCCAAACTATTTTTTTAAAAATACTTCATGAAATTGAAATTCACTAAATTGTAAATTACTATGTATCAGTTTTCAATTCAAATGCTATCGATTTGCGAAAGTGTTTAAAATTTACACATACAGTTTTCAAATTGAGTATCTGTAAAACTAATTTTTCTTGGAAATATTTGAAAATTTGTGGAAATGAAAATTACTTGAAAATTGAGTATTGTAAAAGTTTACGGATTTACAAAGTTACCAAGGACTGCGTGAATTCCACCGACTTGTAAAGTTTTCATAAAAAACACGATTTCAGTTTCATTAAAAAATAAATAAAAATTTCTCCCCATTTTTGAAATCATGTATTTCCTCTTCCCATTTCATTACGAAACATTTCGTAAAAAAACGATCTTATTTCATTCAAAAAACAAAATTTTCGTAAAAATTTTGTAAAAATTACCTAACAATCTCCCATTTTTTGAAACCCTGTAACCCTGTTTTCTCTCCCCATTTCATTACGAAACATACAGAAACAAAGGTGTTCTAAGATTGAGAGACGTGTACATAACGCTGCGATTTTTTCCACCTGCTCGTCTCCCACCGAACGAGACGGACGAGGAAAAGAAAAGTAAAGAAACTTGTGAATAAGCGAATTTTGCTCCCTTTTTCTCACCATCCAATCCTCGCCCTGTCTCCCCGTTTTCTCCTAAAGAACGACTCGAGTGAGTGAGGTGCGAGTGCAATGAAATGAAATGAAATGTTTGCAGCAATTTCATATCCTTCCCATTTCCATCTCATTTTCGTTATGAATGTCTCATACTCAAAAACACGGATGTAACTCGCTCACTAAATAATGCGGGCAGGAAAATTGTCACGGAGTTGGTAACAATTTTGATTACCGAGCCGGTAATTATGCTATAAATTTAAATTTTCTCCAAAGTGAAATTTCTAGGAAGAGATTCGAATTTGATTTTTTTCATAATTTTTGTAAAGTTTACGAAATTTACTGGGTTACAAACATTCGTGTGAGTTTTACGTGGTAAGAAAATTATTACCAATTATTTTACTACCGGCCTGGTAAAGGTTTTATATTTGAAAGAAGACAACAATTGTATAAGAAACTCAAATGCAAGACATTCCACTGGAATAAATTGATTCCAGTTTGATACAAAATTTGAATTTCGTGCCAAATTATTGTTACCACCACGGTAATAGTTGGTAGTCGGCAATTATAATACTGCATCCCTATGCTCCTTAATAATATGCAAATCATTTACAGTATGCATATGGTATTAAAGAAATTGAGTCAATTGCGGTAGCAAATTTGAATTTCCTGCCAAATAATTTTTTACCAAAGTTACCACCCCGTAATAATTTTGTTATCGCATTATTTAGCGTGGCATGTAATATACGGACCGACACGTGTAGTGTGATGTTCAATGGACTGACAGAATGATAAAAGATCCGTCTCATTTAATTTGAAGTGCGAGTTGAAGTTTCGGGTGAAAAGCTCAATCTCGTTGATTCATTAAATTTGCAAGAATCTACTCCCTCGAGGGAAGGAGATTCAATTCAATTAATTTTTTATCCCATTTATTCTCCTCACCTTGGCCACTTTTTTTGAAAAATTATTCCACTTTTTACAATTTATAATTGTTAAAATGAGGCGACGATGGTGAATTTATTTTATTCATTATTTGCAATAATATAATTAACAGATTACGTAGACCCCATCTCCAATTTACCATTGACAAATTTCATAAAATCAATAATTTTTTCATAAAAATTTACCACATTTAAAAAATTACAATTCGTATCAAATTTTCGAAATAATGAAAAAAAAACTGCAAAAAACGTACATCTTAAAGAAATCCAATATGAATTACACAGGAATATTAATGGCTGTGAATATTACATAAAATAAAACTCGTTTTTAAAATTTTTAATAAAATCTTGTACAATAATTACTACTTTTATCATAAAATCACACATTTTCCCGTATAAACACACTCCCTTTAAACAACAATTCGTATCAAATTTGATCAAAGTTTTGATAAAAAAACACTCCCAAAAAACGTTTCCTTGTGCGACTCTTTTTTAACCTTTTTCATGCATCATATGAACTATCATAAAATCACACATTTTTTCGGAAAAATTCACTCCCCTCAAGTACAAAAATTCGTACAAAATTTGATCAAAATTTTGAACATAAATACACTCCCAAAAACACTTTCTCTCCTTGCACAAATCCACCATCTTTTTCATGCATCACACACCACATGGATTTTTCCACAAAACATGCACGCAACTATGTCCATACATATTTTAATGGATGGCATTACGTAACATTACACAAGATCGCGTGACGACACGACATCCTAAAAAAGGCGGAGCTCCCAAAAAGATGGACAAGTGTCTATAAAGTGGAATCCGGTTTAAGATGACGAAATCTAATCTATCCATCAACCCACGGATAAGAAAATCCACCTTAAACCTCAATCCTCGCCCAATCCTAGGAAAGGAGAGTGAAAGTGGGAAAAATATAAGTGGTTCGGTTGGTGGGTGAGGTGAGGTGATTACACTATCACAATTACCAATAAGCTTTTAACACGCGGTGCATAACTGGTTTTTCCACTAAACCTGTTGATTAAGACCACACCAATCGTGTAGAATCACGCATATATGTAGACGGCTCAATGTTAAGTTATTATGGATGGATGCACTCTAAATAATTCGGTGATTCGGTAGCAGTTTTGATAAAAAAGAGATTGAATTACGCTCTTATTTTGTAAAGATGACTTGATTTAAAAAATGGGTAATTAGTTCTTCACATCACCTAGAATTAATTGTTGCTAAAAATATAGGGTACAAATTTGCCAAAATTTTGCTAAAATATACAATACAAATCTGCCAAAATTTTGCTAAAATATACAATACAAATCTGCCAAATTTTTGCCAAACTCATAACCCCAACAAATAATATACAAACAAATTACTACTTTCCAAGTCAATAACAACCTAAATTAATCAAATTTCATCTTAACCTATACTTTCACTTAAAAAAATATGACACTTTTCTTCCCCCCACAAAAAATCCGTCACAATTTCTCCATCATCCCACCCATCTGTCCTTGTATACATATGCAACACTAATATGTAACACCGACCCCATAAAAGATACCTATCTCACTACATACATTTATGCATAATTTATCAGGACATACTCACATAACCAGGCTACCTACCTACATCCCATCCCAACCTTTCAACATATTCATGCCCTTCATTTCTCCGTTAAAAACGCCTCACTCACTTCCTCACTTATTTATGCATATCAAAAAAAATTCACTTACCGAAGCAGATAAGACGTCGCCTTTCTTCTCTTCTTCGTCCAGCTGGTCCCGGCTTCCTTATCGCCTTATCCATCCTTCGTCCATACGTCCATATCCCAGACGAGCAGGTGTTGCTATGTTGTAATGTACGTACCACTCTCTCTCCTCTCCCCGTTGAAATGAGCCGGCTGCCTCCTTTCACTCCCGCTTTCACCCGACGCATCGATCCGTTTCCTCATCTCGGACGCGAAACACGTACATTTCCCTTCCCAGCCCCACAATCCAATCTCAGCTCGGCCAGCAAGCAAGGAATGAGTCATTCCTCGTCCTCGTACTTTCTCCACCTGAGCAAAAAGTGGGATTAATAAATAATTAACTCCACAAACAAACGCACCTTCACCCAGTTTAAATAAGTTAACGACTTACTCTTAAATAATGGCAGGCAGGCAGGCGTTTCGTACCGTCGAGGAGAAGTTGGAGAGAGATCTGCTCGACGTCTCTTTCTCTCTCTGCACCAGACCAGACGAGACGAGGTTCGGATGGGAAAAGACGTCAGGGGAGCCGCTCCTCTGACGTCAAGCTCCGAATTCGGGTTCTCGGAAGTTCGGAGGGGGAGGTCGGCAGGGCAGGGAAGGGAAGGTCCAGGCAGATCGGGCCACTTTCTCTGAAGGGAGAAGAGAAAGAGGGGAGAGGAATTGAAATTGATGGATGGCCTGTAAAGGAAAATAACACAAAAATCACTTTCACTCTCACCACACGGAGAGAAGTGGGGGATTCGCATCTGCTGGATGGAAGTATACAGTGGCTGGATGGATGAGGAGGGAGGAGGGGGGCTGTGCGGGAGGTATGTTTGACGGTCAGGGTGGTGGTTCATATGTAAATAGGTGAGGAATTTTGGGAAATTTTGAGGAAATTTTGACAAATTTTGGACCCGTTCGGCCCGATCTTATCTGTACTTTGGAAGGAATAGGGTAAAATTTTGAGGAAATTTTGCAAAAATCTGGACACATTCGGCTCGGTTTTGTCTGTACTTTGGCAGGAATAGGGTAAATTTTTTGGGAAATTTTGACAAAATTTTGACGCGTTCGACTCGTTCTTATGACGAATGGGGTAAAAGTTTGAGGAAATCTTTTACCCAAATTTGGCCACATTTTTTCTGCAGTGACCCTAATTCTGGTGGTGGTGAGATCGGATTGAGTGAGCTTCTCACACTTGTAAAGTATGTACAAGATCCGATTGTGTTTCTCGTGATGGAATGGAACAAAGGATTTGAGTTTAGAGAGAGAGAAGGACGCTTAGTTAGCTGGGATGTCAGGATGGAGAGAGAGAGAGATGAGTTGAGATGATCTGGAGGACACTGCGGGAAGGATGGGGTCGATTTGGATAGAATTTTTGACCTATGACCCCACCATGTTAAAATTTATGACATGGTGAAGGACATGATACCTTGACCCCTGACCTCAGGTCACATTATTTACGCACTGCCCCTCCCTTCAGATGCATACAGCTCGTTGGTTTATCTCGATCCATGTAAAATCGCCTTTGCACTGCCAAAACAGTACCAAATTTTGTTACCGACGACTTGGTAACAAAAATTTGACTGATACATATGTATGAAACCTATGCATTTTTAAAATTGCCGCCCCTATTATACTTTTTTATTATAAAAAACTGGATCTACATTTATGAAATTGAACCCCTTTACCCCCCATTAAAATCGTCTTTACACTTTAAAACAATACCAAATTTTGTTACCGATCCCTCAGTAATAAAAATTCTTCTACATTTTTGAAGTGCCGCTATTATACTTTAAAATGCCTACATTTTTGAAATTGAATCCAATCCAATATTTTTTATGGGCGATATAATACATAATAATTTTTGCAAATTGTCCATCCAATTTTAAAATAATATCTTTCTCGCACATCACAAAGAACTCAATTTTGAAATTCAAATCTCTCAGGTTCTCTCTCTATCCGGATAATGGGAAAAGTTTCCCGGAAACTTGAAACAACTTGGTCTCTCACACATACACACACACACTTATTCTTTCTTTTACACATCCAATTCCGTTGCAGGAGGATGAGGAAGACGAACTTTGGGAATAAAACGAGACTGAATTTCACCGTATAAACTTTCCATTAAAAAGGAAGGACCACGAGCAGGACGACGAATATGCAGATGAGGTGCGAAGTAGACAAAAGGGCTGGATTCGCTATGGCTGGGCGAGGAAAATGAGAACATTCCACCCCAACAACAATGCGGTTTATGGGCCGGTTTTGCTTTTTTAAGTCGTGCTCATGCTTTTTAATCCGATTCTCTTTTACTAAACCCAAGCAGAGCCTTGTGAAGTGAAACACAGAGCTGGTAGTCGGAGGAGAGGAGAACGTAATGAAACCCGGGGCTTAAAAGTTGCACAAACAGAGAGAGAGAGAGAGTTTGAGGCCACACTAAATAATGTGAGGGGAGAAATTTGGGACAAATCTTGTTACAAAAATATGTACAAAAAATGTCAACTGATTCCAGTGTGCATTCAATTTAAATTTATGGCAGGTATGTATGTAATTACTGGTAAAACCATTGAAAAGTGCGGATCATACTTACAACGGAGGCCTCCCAGCGTATGCTGCCCGATTTTGAGCAAATTAGTGTCAATCGATCACAAATTTAATTAGTGTGAAATTTGCGAAAGATACTATCTTCGAATGGGCAAATTTGGCAGGGATATTTGCATCTAAATAGGAGAAAATGCGGCGTAAACTTGACAAATTTTACACTTTCCATGCAAATTTACTGCGCATTTTCTCTTCTTTAGATGCAAATATCTCTTCCAAATCTGCGGGTTGGGAGATCGCGTTTTCTGTAAATCTCATACTAATCAAATTTGTGATTGAATGGCCCTAGTTTCCTCAAAATAGGACAGCATACGCTGGAAGACCTCCATTATCATTAACTTATGTATGTACTTTACATTCATTTGCAAATTAAAAAATTTCGCAAATCTCGAAACCATTATAAAGTCACACTCACAAGTTTATCGCTCTCCGCTAAAGAAATTGAATTCCAAGAACCTACATAAATCCACTTATTATTACCACCACCTCGGTAATACATAATTCTATTCCCACATTATTAACAGTGCACCCACCTCCATCCTTTCACATACGTTGCTTGTACTTCCTTTGTCCTGGAGATCGAGGAAAGGATCGATGCTTACATAATGCCATCCGACTGACAAGTCCTACTCATTAATCATCCTCACTGCCAACAAAAGGAATTCCCTTTCTATTTTCTATACCGTCGTCGTTTTCCTCGCCGTAATCGCCTCCCTCAGCAGAACAACCAGCCACCAAACTAAACCCAAGTCTCCTCGTGGTCTCAAAAACTGTCCGATTTTGCGACAAAGTTAACATTTCTCGTCATCCTGTAATCCCGTACTTGGCTAAATTTGAATTTATCTCAAATTCTGGATTTCTCAGTCGGAATCTCATCTGCATTTGGTTGGTGTCACTGTCAGTACAGGTTTAATTCGAAATCAGTCAGTCCGTTCTCTCTGTGTAAATGGATAAGTTACACGGACGAACATGGTCATTTTAGGCTTATCTGAAACCGTTAACGGGGAGGATGTGATTTTATAAATGGATAAGTTACACGTATACGTACACAGTCGTTTTAGGCTTATCTTAAACCGTTAACAAAGGGGATTTTGGAAAGGTGTGTAGTAGTTTTCATTTTCGGAGAGATTTTGTGAAACATAAGCAAATAAAAACGACACGTGTTAAAAACAACATGCTAAAAAGTTGGAAGTTTAACAAAATTTTGCATATGTACACTTTCAAAACTTAATAATTAGCACGTGCAGTTTAATAATTTATTTACACATTCAAAAACTTGGCTAAATTTGAATTTCTCTAGAATTCTGGATTTCTACGGAATCTCATCTGCATTTGGTGTCAATGTCACTACAGGTTTAATGCGAGATTACATAGTTTGTTCTCCCTCGGTGATACGATTTTGTAAATGAATAAGTTACACGTATGTACATGGTAATTTTAGGCTTATCTGTGAAACCGTTGACATAACTGTAACAGAAGAGATGTTGAAAAGTTGGGTAGTAGTTTTCATTTTCTGAGAGATTTTGTTATGCAATAAAGTGTGAAACATAATTATACAAAATAACGGTACGTGTTGTGCTAACAAGTTGAGAGTTTAGCAAAATATTCGTACATACACTTTTAAAAGTTAATAATAATTAGCACGTGTCGCACACATGCAAAATTTAAGCGAGAATTCGTATTAAATTAATAACACAAAAATCGCACTTTTAAAAAACACGAGAAAATATACATCCTTCAAATTCTCAAATTTTTTAAACTTGCAAAACAACGAAGGAACTCAAAATTAGTAAACAAAATTATAAATTTATCGTTACAAAAATTGCACCACTCCAATCTTTTTAAAATCTAGAATTATGGAAAACCAGAATTTATTAGATTATCGAATTTTTAAAACTTTCACATCAATAAAGAATTTCAAAAGTCTAAAATTCAAAGTTTTCTCCAAACAAATTACACCAATCCAAATTTCCAAACTTTCCGAAGGTCCCACACCGTTAGAAAAAGTTCAAATTTTTTCCCTCTCACCGGAATTTAACATGATTTGTAAGTTGTTCATCTTCTCGTGGGAATACATATAATGGGACAAGAATTTGGCCAATAAATTCCTCCTCCTCTCCGGAGAACACACACGGAAAATTCGACATTTCTCTCTCCCTTTCCCATTGTCTTCCTCATTTTATTACCGTCGTCGTCCTCGTCGTCCTGATCATCCATCCAATTCCAAACCAAACCAAACCACCGACCGTTGACCACCCGGAGGAGGCCGTGCGTTACGGATGCCATCAAATTTGAGTATATTTTGGTAATAAAATAGTTCCCACGATGGTAACAAACATTTCTGGGAAACTGTACACATTTTATTTGACACTTTCCCTTAGAATAACAATTAATTTAATATTTACCAATAGGTAAAGATTGTGCCTTTCAATTGACAAAAAATAGAAAAGAAGTGTCAATTATCTAATTGTAATTCTGCTTTATTCAATCATCTTATTTCAAAGTGAGGCAGTTCACGCAGTCATTGGTAATTTGTAAAATTCGTGCATTTTGTAAAATAATTTTACAAGTTTTTACAAAATAAAGCGACCCTGAATAAATAGAATTATCGAATTAAGTGGGAACAAAAATTTCCCGGAAATTCTACATAATTTGACACTTTCCCCTTAGAAATTAACCCAAACAAGTTTGAATCTCTATGAAATCATGGTTGAAACCAAATCATTACCAAAGTTAACTTGACACTTTCCTCCGGTTAGAAATTAGCTAAATAAAACATGGAAATATAACTTTGAATCTCCAGGAAATTATCCGGTAATGGTAAATCCGGTAATCATAGTAGTGACGATATTTTACTACCAAAAAATCCCCCACCCTTTACGCAGTGCCCTCTCCCTTCCAAGAAAATGTAGCATGACCAATGACCACGAAACCAACCACCGGCCAGGCCGGACTAGAGAAGAAATCCGTTGTTTTGCGGTTCACTAGACCAACCACAATCTTCTTCTTCTCTCTTCCTGAAAAAGAGAGGAGAGAAGAATGGATTGTAAATTGGCATCGCATCGACAATCCTCCATCCATGATGATGATCAAGATTATTATTATTCTTGTAAATACATCGTCTTCTTTTTTCAAAAAGAAAGCGACCCAACCGCAAAATTCCTTCTTGCTTTTATTACATCGGATCAGAGATCGAGTCGAATTTATTGGGTTCCTTCACAACAAAGGGATCGTGT